GAATACCAGAAGTCTACCTCATACCTGCCAACATCTGCTGACAGCAACGAGGAACACCTGTTCATGTTAATGAACAGCTGTGGAGGGAAGCAGTTCTAGGGGGGAGGGTACTCCCAGGAAAATTTTTGTAAAAGATACTCAAAATTATTGATTTCACGGCCGTTTGGAGAGCATTTATTTTGGGATTAATAAAACAACATAAATACAATATTTTATGAASGTCGAACACTGAAAACCAGACTTGAACTTAAATTTCATCTGGGATAATAACTGAAACTTTCATTATCCTTGTTTTGATTTCTATTTACGCACATACAAACTCAGTGTTTCTCTTTGGGATTAACTAATTAAAAAAATCTGAATAGTAGCAGCTAGCTTYAGCACTTCCTGTGCAGCCTCCATTCTATTTCTGATCCAGGTAGTGTGAAATAGATGGCATTTTAACAATAAAACACTATGAAACTGTAAAGATTTGTGATGTTTTAAGACATTTTACAATAATCGGATTGCCAATAATGCTGCACTGAAAGTGCTAACGCTAGCTGCAGCTATTTATTTATTTATTTATTTGCATATGATCACAAAATTCTGTATAAATAACTACCTATTTAGTATTTTCAAAAATTGTGTTTGCATTCACTGCTAAGAAATGTTTGAGATAAAAGTGCCCCCATAGAAAATTTGTCAGCACTTTGATGGCCCAGATGTGGTTTGCCAGAGGTGGTCCATGCTTGAGCCAGCACCACATAAACCAAACCACAACTGGGCCATTTTAAAAACTGCCASTGTTGCCAGACCTGGCCCACGTCTGTCTGTTCTGCACATTGAAGAGCACTTTGTCTTTGGCTGCTCTTGGATTAGCTGTTAGCTCATCAGTCCTGTCGAACATAAACACAATAATAACTTTATTTTATTTTATTTTATTTTATTTTTGCAGAACTACTCTTTAAAGTAGGCAGACTATTCTTTAAATATGCTAAAGCCAGACTGGATCTTTGTTATTTTTAGACACCAGGGTGAGAACAAAACCAGTGCAGACAGTCAGAGCAGTTGATAAAACTCAGCTAATCAAATCTAAGAAAAAACTCACGTTTTTCTCATTATTCATTAAAATAAATATAAAATGTTTGTTAAATGCTCTAATTTGTCTTTAAAATTTGTCTTTTTTGCAGGCGTGCAATGATGTAAAAGGATTTTGTGAATTCCAGTCTAATTTCATTTTTCATTATCAGACGAAAACAAAAACATTTTTAAAAAGTGATAATTGGTGAGAAAATGCCTCGTTAGACACATTGAAGGTGATGCTCACTCATTCATATGGAAAATGGCGCACGCACACACACACACAGAACACCGATTGTTCTTCTTTGTTGTTTTTTTTATTTCTAAGATGAACAAATAAGGATTTCTGCATTCTTGGAATAACAGCAATCCCCTCAAACATCATCAATCAGTTAACATTGTTTGTAAAAACAAACCAAAACTGGAGTTGTGTGTAATCACACTGTGAAGAACAACAGAAATCAGAGCAAAGATATAARTTTACAACTCTGGACCAGACAGAGGATGTTCTTTTTTTATTTAATTATTTTTTATTTTTTTGCTCCTGTCGTATTAAAAAAAGTGACCTACTTTTAAGAACAACTGCAATTCTCCAAGTGAAATCCTCTCAAAGGAAACATTATGGAAGATTAGAGGCAACAAAGCACAGCATTGTAAATAATTTGCTGTCACATTTTGAGAAAAAAAAATCAGCAGCTACTTTTCTGACAAAAATCAAATCTCTCATCATACTGCTTTCAGCCTGAGTGGGCAATCAGAAAAAAAGGCGTCTCACATGGACTCAAACTCATCAATGCGTTGCTTGGTGTTGCCCTGCCGGATCAGACGCAGGGTCTTGTATTTATCACGACCTGCCCTCACGTTCTCAGCGTGGATCAGGTCATTGGGGGTCTTCTTGCTCTCATCCACGGCTCTGGCCAGCTCGGCGCTCAGGAACTGTGAAAAAAAAAAGGAACAAAACAAGGAAAAAAGGATTCATTTTTGCTTGAGACTGGGAGAAACTATTCAGAAGCTTCTCGCCCGTATTTTCTCATCTCTGTCTGAAAACACTTTATTGTCAATAGCTGTTAGGACCCATTTTGTGTTTTTGAGTCAAATAAACAACACGATATCTTGTTCCGGTTGAGACGCAGAGGCCACGGATGAGATCCGCACCTYGGATGAAACAGAAAACAACGATAATGTACTGGTGCGGTGATGTTTAATTAGGTAAAGTGCACTTAGTTCTGGCAAAGCCCAATTTGTGAAAGTAATTGCTCTGACATCTTTACATGAGAATAAAAAAAAACAACCTTTGGCGAAAACAAACAGCAGAGAAAAGCTTTTACAAAACACACTAGATTAGTTTTCAGACTAAAAAACYGGTTAACCTGAGAGAAGAACCTGTTGAGTCAAATTGAAGCACATTACCTGCATCATTTTAGACCTCACTGACATTCATCATATGTATAAAAATGTGGCAATTTCCTCTCAACGTGAGGTACTGTAATACTTTTAAAACTAATATAAGAAAATTACCTTTTCATTTTTTTTGCAGGTTTAGCATGTATGAAAGCAATTTTAACATGAGTCATAAAAACCATTACATTAAAGGGAACTGAAGCGAGTTGTAACAGACGTTATTTGATCTTTTTTTTCCAACTATAAAAAGGACACTGGAAAAATACTGCAGGCTGTTTAGCTTTTATAAATTTAAAAATATTGTCGCAAGAAAAACTTTGAGGATCTCCTTAATTTACTCTCCATGTCCACAAGTGAGGAGGCAGAACCTGAAGATAAGTTTATTACCATGGTAGAGGTCACCAAGGTAGTCAAAAAGCTTCTGTGCCGGGGTGGATGAGGTTTGCCCCGAGGTGCCGGGGCTGTTATTGATTGAGGACTGGGACAATGCCTGTKGAGTGGCAGACGGGGTGGTGGTTCCCATTTTTAATAAAGGGGGGACCTAAGAGTGTCTTCCATCTATTGTGGGATCACATCTTTCACCATCCAGGGGAAAGTAAACTGCAGGGTGCTGGAAGGTAGGCACTGATCGATCGTCAAACTTAAGATTCAGGATTAGCAGTGTAGCTTCCATCCTGGTCATGGAACAGTGGACCAGATCTTTACCCTTGCAGAGCTACYAAGGGGGTTGTGGGAGTTTGCCTCTCCAGTCAATATGTGTTTTGTGGACCTGGAGAAAGCTTGGAGGGTCCGGGTTGCTTTTAGCTACCCAGTCCCTGTAGAACCAAAGCAGGAGCTGTGTCCACATTCTTGGCGCAAAGTCGAGCTCATCCTCAGTGCGAGTTGAACTCCGCCAGGGCTGTCTCTTGTCTCCGATCCTGTTTGTAGTGTTTACGGACAGGATCAGCCAGGAGGGTGTCTGGTTTGGGAACCACAGGGTCTCGTCTCTGCTGTATGCAGATGATGTAAAACGTTCTCACTCCCGACTAGTCAACATATTGGTGCTTGGTCAGGGACCGTCTCGTCCAGTTTTGACGCGTCAGGTACCCCCCGTGCATCAGTCCTTGCTGCCCACCGCTTTTCCGGGTGCAATGCTTAGGGGTCTTTGGGTTGGGGGTCTGAGGTTAATATGAGGGATCAGGTTAATGCTTAATTTGAGATACTGGGGTCAGGGATAGGATGTATATGCCTAATAGTATAGGTTAAATTTAGGGTCTGGGATGGTTAGTTCTCGGCATTCTCWMTATTTTCAAAAATAGTYAATATGAGGGATCAGGGTTAATTTTAGGTACTGGGGTCAGGGATAGGCTGTATAGGGCTAATAGAAGTCAAATTTAGGGTCTTGGATGGTTAGTTTCGCGCATTTCCTACTCTTAAAAAAAYATGACAAYGTCGTCCTCCTCCGCCTCATCTCGTAAAAAACTGATGCGCGGGGGGTACCCGACGGGTCAAAACAGGACGCAGACGGCTACCTGATGAAGCGTCAATATGTTGACGAGTCAGGAGTGAGAATGCGTTGGATGATGCGGTTCTGTTGGTGTCTTCAGGCCAAGACCTTCAGTGTGCACTGGAGCAGTTCAGTCGATTGAGAAGAGGATGGGATGTGAGTTAATTCCTCCAAGTCTGAGGCTTTTTCTTAAATGAAAAAGGATGTAATGGTGGGGGTGCATATGTTAAGTTGTAAGGATTGTCCGTAATTTACATGGATTTTCCCTCATTTTGCAGGTATACAGACATTTAGAGCAATCTCACAAATTGTTTCAAGTTTTACAGATTTTCTCAAAAACTCTGTTTAAAATTTAACATGTCATGTAGGGCTTTTTAAAAACACTAAATAACATCAAATAACCATCTGCCGTTATAAATAAGTTCTCCTGTCCTCATTTCCACCTGCTTTGCCCCCGCCCCGCATTTGATTAATACGGATATTTTGCGAAACCTACGGATTTTTGAGGCTCATTAAACAAGTAAACATCCGAAGGGGGAGGAGTTTAAGTATTTGGGTGTCTTGTTCACGTGTGATGTAGGATGGAGGGGGAGATTGACAGATTGGGACCTCGTCCTCAGTGATGAGGGCGTTGCTTCGGTCAGTCGAGGTGAAGAAAGAGCAGAATCGAAAGGCAAAGCTCTTAGCTTACTGGTCCGTCTTCATTCCAACCCTCACAGGTGCTCATGGGGTCAAAGTACGAGAATCCAATTTACAAGTGGCTGAAATTAATTTCCTTCGTAGAGTGTCCAGGATCAGCTTTAGCRATGCAGTGAGGAATTCCATCATCCAGAGGGAGCTCGGAGCAGATTGAGGGGATCAGATTAGGACACCACTGGCAGGAGGCCCCAGGAGGAAACCCAGGACTCGCTGGAGGGATTATGTATCCTCTCTGGGCTGGGAACGCCTTGGGGTCCTCGAGGACAAGGTGGAAAGTGCCAATGGGGGGAGTGATGTCAGGGTTACTCTCCTAGACCTGTTGCCTCCGTGACCTGACTACAGATGAGCGTCAGAAGATGGAGGTGACGATAGAGACCGAAAGAAATATTACAGTAAAAATTACATACTGCTTTGTAAGCCAGGCTGGGAGCAGCGGCAGTTTTGATGCATGGTTCATTTGCAGCGATGGATGCGGAGTGGAGTGAGTCTCCACCCAGCTCTGACTGCAGCTGGGGTTCCCGTGTGAGGCTTCAGTGAGCGGGACTGCTCGTCAGTGCTTTGGCAAGGGGGAGAGGCTCACCGCACTGCTCGCTGAGGAAAGTGCTGTTGCCAAATTCTCCAAACGTCTCCAATAAGACCATAAAAAACTGACAGATTTGTTGCTAGTCGCTTTTTAGGAAAAAAAGAGTCGTTAGAGGGGTCTGAAAGCTTGCTAAATTTAACAACAAAATTGCTAAGTTGGCAACACTGATCATCATCCCCTAAATGTAATTTGTCAATAACAAAACTGAGCATGCTTATGTGAAAAATGTAACAAACATAGGCAATTAAAAAAAAAAAGATAAAAAATCGACATAGAAGAGAGAAACAAACTATTACAGTCAACACGTACGTGCAGGTAGTTTGAGATTCCTTCAAAAATACTTCCTTCCATAGGATAGAGGGAAACGAATGTTGCATAACATCTAGTCATTTAGGCCCAATTTAGTTTGAGCCAAGCAAACTAAAGTGGACATTTGCTGCCAGAGCTCAAACTTGGTAATTACAATAAAGTTTTTTTATTTTACTAATGCAGCCTTGTGCTGGTTGATTATTTCACCCACCGCCATTCATCCACTGCCATATTTGTCTCACTGTTCACCAAACGAGTGCACTCTAATTTACAAAACATCTTTCTCAGAAAGCAATTTTCAGGCTTTTTAAACAAATTTGGCCGCGCTCTGAAAAGCTGCAGGCAGACGTGGGACTGTTAACCTCCCAGTGAAAAGTAAAACCCATTTTCCAGGGGCTCCTGCTTACCTTGAGGTTTTTCTGCAGCCTCTGGTTCTTCTGCGTCTCAGTTACCCTCTCCTCCTCGCTGCGGTCTTGGACCGTGCACGGGGAAGTCAGCTCGGCACTCGCCTCTGCGCTGCTCTCGTCTGTCTCGTCGTGCTCAAGAATTTGTGGGTGGACTGAGTTCTGGATTTGGACACCCATCAGTTTAGTCTTCAGCTCATCTTTGGTCCGCTCCAAATCGGCTTCGACCACCACCGCCTGCCAACGCACACAACTTGCATGAAAGTTTTGCAGTTCGGTGTTAAAGCTGTTTAACAAAAAGCTGAGCTGAGGAACTTTGTTTACGGGAAAAGTCGCTGGTTTTGGATGAACACCTGGCATTTTATTTACAGCTGTATATTCGGGTAATTTGTTCATTAGGAAATTAGAAAATTCCTGAGGGAAATTTAAAGAGGCCATCAAAATTACTGCCTGAAGTTCAAACATAATCAACTTTTTTCTCTGAAGCCCAGAAGTAATTTAGGACTAACCTTTTTTCCAAATAATTTAAAGTGACAAAATGCTGACATTTGGATTTATAAACTGTATGAGAGATGTAATAAAATCAAGAAAAATATTAAACCGCTGCCAGTGGCTCATTTGGATCATCATAGTAACTGTACATCCATGTCTCTCACTCCCTCTGACTCACTCTTAATAAAACAGGCAGACAGAAAAACAGTTTAAAAAACCTTCTTTTCTAGTTCTAAACAAAAAGAGTTTAAGCACAATGGAAGTCAATGAGAGTTTGTTTGCATAGTGATGGATCTTAGCTGGTACTGCGTTGGGTTGCGACAGTTTGGTACAAATTACAAAGTGGTGTCCAGAAAGAGGTCTTCTAAATGTCTTGAAACATTGGCAAGGGTTCTCTATTACCTTGTGTGAGGTGCAGCGCACAATGTTTGAACATGTTCAAAAATGATGATTACACAACATTTTTTTCCCACATAGTCATTGTCCACTGGAAAATGCCAGAAAAATGGACATCCAAACATATGACAACACAACACTCTAGTCCTTATAGGTTTTGGTGTCTGCAGTGGCTCAGAGGTCAGTGCTGCAGTGTTGTAATCCTGAGGCTGTGGGTTTGAACCCAGGCTGTCTCAGGAAGGGTATTCTGTATAAAAATTTGCCAAAATCTTGTTTGAATTTTCACCTTGAAAGTAAAACAACACATAACATAAGGTTTTATTAATGCTTCATATGTTTAAATTCCAACATTAATGAGTTTTAGAGCTGATATATAAACCAACACACACACATGCTCACAGCACTCCCCGACTGAAACATGTTCCCACGGTTATAAACTGTGCAAGTCTGTTGCTCATTTCACTGAAAGACAAAAATCACCTGACATCAATGTTGCCAGATATGTGGTAATTACTGTTTCAGAAAACCGTTTTTTTTTTTCTGTGTGTTTGCCAATCACAGCCCACACCTCTGTACAAACTCCACCCTCTGAGAGACTACACCCACATGGTCAAAATACAAACATTTTAAAGCTACGGTACGATTGTCATTTTCTATCTGGCAATCCTGCCTGGCATGGAAATCACAACCAGCACGGCATTCCTCGTGTAAACTTTTTGTTTGATGTTGATTTGCCACAATCAACATTGGATAAACAGAAATGTTTCCAGAGATTGTTCACATGTAAACAGAGCCTCAGTTTACATCATATATAGGGCACTACAACTGTAGTTTTTGGCAATAATTGGGCAAACCCCAGGCAAATTTTGGCCAAAATTTTACCTGGCTTTTATACAAACTGAATTCAGGGGTGTTCTAAGTTTTAAAAAAGTGTATTTTTTACACAATTTTTGTGTCTCTTGCTAGTCCAGTACGTGTTTAGTAAGGTATTACCCAAAGTCCCACAGAACAGAGACACACTGAGGGAAAGAAACCAATAATATTTTAAAGTAAAAACTGAACAAGAAGTGCAAAATATAAAAAATGGAAAGTTTAAACAGCTTAGTTTGACGTCATCACATCAGTTTAAACATTTTTTAGTAAAATCTTCAAAAATCATCACAGTTAAATTAGAAAAATGAAGGCTGTGTTTTCTTCTTCTTTGTTTTGCTAAAATCCCATCATTGTCAATGGGGACCTTTTTTGTGAATTTTATTAATGCTGTATAATAACAGATTATTATAGACTCATAGTTTTATGATTTGTTTGTTTTCTTCTCTTAAACTGTAAGTAAAATAGCAAATTTAAAATTGTGAAGAAAACAAAATATAACAAGCTAGAGTAAATGTAAGGGGTCCTTTGAACCGGAACTTTTATTCAATTAAAAACTATCTGAAATACAAATTTTCCAGATAAAGTGCAACACTGTGATGCGTCATTAAAGTGCAGAAAAAAACAATAACTCTAGTGTACCACAGTATTCCTCATTTGCACACTATTTTGAACGGCGGTTCATAATCCCTGAGGGAAATTAGCATTTACATTTAATCGAATTCTTAAGCCAACTGTGGTGCCCTGCGGGGCCACGTCGATATTATTTATTCAAAATATCCAAGCTTTTGACAAAAAAATCTGATTCTGCTCTGCACCGTTCTGGTGTCACACGTCCCTCTCTCTGCTCATGTTCGATTCATACACCGTCCCTCTCGCGGGCTCTTTAATTTTCTCTCACCCTTTTCTGCCATCGCTTCGCCTCCTCGTCCTTTTTCTTCTTGGCATCTTCCAGCTGGGAGATCTTAGAGGTAAGCTCTGCCAGCTCAGTGGCCTGCACAACCATGCACACAAATGGAATAAAGAGTTAAGAGTGCTTCTGATCTAAGGTCATTGTGCTCTGCTTGTGCGTGTGAAGTGTGTAAGGAAGAATCGGGGGTGGGTGTATGTGTGTCCACGGGTGGACGTGCACCGCGGCTGTTTTGGCTGAAAAAGGCTTAAAAAAAAGAAAAGAAAAACAAATCATTTCAAATTTTCTTCATGAGTAAAATTGTTTCTGGCTTCGAGGACTTAATTATTCTGAAAATAAGAAAAATTGTATCCAATTCACTGAAAGATTCAATGCTTTCTATTTGGAGAGGCTCCACTGTGTTTAATCTGTCCAACTGAAAATGAATAAAGTGAAATTAGCGTTTCGTGCACGAGTACCAGGTTTTCCTGGCTGCTGATCTGGGTTTCAGAATCATGTAGCAGAGCCGCTTTAGCCTCCACTGCAGCTTTGTGGTCCTTGTCCAGACGCTCTGCCTCCTCCTGAGCCGTTGTTCTTTCTTTCTCCAACTCGAGCACCCTCCGAGTCTGCTCCTCCAGCTCTGGGAAAAAAAAAAAAAAATCATTCACATGTGCACATCCCACCCCAACCCCAAAACAAGGCCTACACAATACAATTTCATAACAATCCCCAAGTCAAATCTACTTTTTGGATGTTCTTAAACAGACGGAAAAAAAAAAGGCAAAGCTGGAGTTAATAAACATTTGTATTCAGAAGGTTGTCAGACCATCTTGAGCTCTCTTTGTCTGCTCTTCAATCTGTCTCAATCTTTCCATCAGCTCCATGGTCTCCCGAGCAATCTTCTCCGTTTCCTTCTCAGCATTTTCTCGCTTTTTTTTCTCACTCTCGAGCAGAGCCCTGACAGGGAGAATTGTGCATAAACACACATCTGATAAAATAACAGAAAACTTTATTCTGACAGTTTTTCTCTCTCTTCCTCCTTAAAGCAGAGGGAACACAGTGTAAACTGTTTTTTAAAAAAAAAAAAAAAGCTTTATTTCTCCCTTCTGTACCTCTCCATTTTCCTCTTGTTCCTCTCCTCTCTGGCCTGGGCCTTCATCTGCTGCACCTCGATAGTGTCCGGTTTGCGTCGGCGCATGTACAGGTCATGGTTGCCCATGCACAACGCCAGGATGCGTTTGTTGATGCGCAGGCGAGGAACGTAGAAAACAAAGTCCTCGAGCAAACAAATCAACAAATGTGATCAACCATAATGACATGGAAACAGATCTTTTAATTAATTTATTCTTTCATAAAAAGAGGGCTCCGAAAAAAAAACTTAAAAGACAGTTTTGCTTTTGAAGATAGTTTTTGTTTTTTTTATTTCCCCCCACAGGCTCTTGGATGATCCCTGAAATCTGGGCATGGAGTCAAAAGACGGGTGGAGGGGCTGAACTCGTGTCTGTAAATTAGATCAAGTAGCAGCTGCTGTTGAAACTTTAGTTGCTGTAATTAATGGTTGTACAAATTGATCTTTTCAGCAGCGACAAATGGGTTTCTGTCACACCTCCTGCTTACAGTGAGAGARAAAAAAAACTCATGTATTTGCATCTCTTTGAAGACCTTAACAGAACTTTAAATGGTTGTTGTGAAAGGGTTTTTTCATGTTTTAAAACTGCTCATTCAAAATGACTGAATCCCGATAGGGAAAGAACTAATTCTAAGAGTATAAAACTGTGTTGATGTGGGCATTTTGCACTCTAGGTGGATTTCTGGAAAAAAAAATCAGGAGTCCCAGGAGTGAGAGACAAGCTTGGTAAAAGTGGACTAAAGGCCCAAGTTTTTATGTTTTAGAAAGTACAAAGTATAGTGAAGTACAAATACTTTGTTACCTTACTTAAGTTGAAATTTTGGTTATCTATACTTAATTATTTTTCTTACATTTTCAAGCAATTGTCTGTACTTTCTACACCCTACGTTCAAGAATAGCCTCATTACTCTTATTTCTGTTTGGATTGTTTTGATACCTATGATGTTGTATTAGCCAAACTAAATTTTTAAATTMTTTTAATAAGTCATAGCATTGCGGCAATAAAATCATAGTTTTATGAGAAAAAACTACAAGAAAAAAGTTGTTTTAATGAGAAAAAACTTTGTTAATGTTATCAAGATCTGACGTGACCAGCTCGGCTAAAAAGCCAAACATCAAAGTTAATGTATTGATAATTTGGGCCTTTTACAAAATTCGACTGAAGTGTTTTTTTCCCTCAATAAAACTACTTTTTTCTCATAATTTTACAACTTCCTATTGATAATATTGTGTCTATTCTGCTACTGTTATCACTGTAGTCTCATATTATGACACTACAACTTTTTCTCATTCAAAATATGACTTTACTCTCTTGACTTTTTTTCTCATAAGATGTTTTCCTATGACTTTATTCTCTGTGTTTTTCTCAATCTTTAGACTTTTTTCTCATAATACTATGACTATTCTCATACTACTTTATTCTTATAATATTGACTTTATTCTCATGCAATGTTTTTCTCATAATATTATGAATTTATTCTCATAAAACGTTTTTCTCATGATATTATGACTTTACTCTTGAAATTCGAAACAAATTCTCTGAGTTTGGCCCTAATAWATATGCTGTTGTATATTCCAACTTGTTTTTATTTAAAAAAAAAACTATCCAGAGATAATGCGCTACCTAAATAAAGTGAAATAGATTGTGATTTTATGAGAAGTATAAATCTATCCCATTCTATTGGTTTTTACGATCCATCACATCTGCACATGACACAAACCAGGTCACACACAGGACATAGACATGTGGAGCCTGAGCGTGTCATACTGTATTTATGCAGCTGAAACATGTGGTCTATCCCAAAATTTTCAGCATTATTATTTTCATATAACATAAGTTATTGTGGCCTTTAGAAAACCTTTTTAGGAGGTCACCTCTTAATAAAAGTCAATTTGGAAATTCTGTCAGCTAACTTTTACACAGTACTTTTACTTATTTAAGTACATTTTGTATCAGAAATTTACTTTTTATTTACAGTTATTTAACCAGGCAWATCCCACTGAGATCACAGATCTCTTTTTCAAGGGAGGCCTGGGCCTGAAGGCAACCTATTGTGCATATTTACTTTAAATACTTCAATACAGTAAATGTTAAATACTCTAAGATTCAAGCAATATTCTTAGAGCAGACCTTAACTTTTACCACAGTACTTTTGTGGTAAGTATCACTTTGAAGTACTGTATACAAGATTGTGTGTAATAAGTGTAAAGTTTGTAAGAAGAAGAGTTTGTTTTTATTTTTATAGTTTTTTTAAGTTCTGCCCAGCCAATAGTTAGATTGAATGAACGGCCCTCAAGCTGAATATTTTGTGGTAATATCTAAAACCAAAATCTATTAAGCATAAAGTAAGATTGTGGAAAAACCCATTAGAGAGACCGAAATGCCTTTTTTCAGTCATGTAAATTTCATTTTAAACTTCAAATGATGTTGATAATGTTAAGTATGTCTGATCCAATAATGGCAGTGTTTTCTTGTTTTACTAAAATAAGATACTGTATATGTTTAAAAAATTGTTGATTTTTGTACATTTTGTCTACGCTGCCTGACAAGTGACACTGTATTCAGACAAACCCTATGTTTGTTTGTTTTTTTCAAAGCTGCAGKAGGAATAAATAATTGAAAATCGTATTGGAAATAGAAAACTAACAGTCATATAGTAACAAGGTTGCTTTCATTTCATTTCCACTAATTAAATTTTCCTCTATTAGGACCTGGACATGCACCATATTAAACTCTTAACAGAATCTACTGATCGTGTTTCATTTTCTTACCGGGGATTTCTTGTCAATTGGCTTAATGGCAAATTTCTTGTCATTGAAYGAGATGTTTCTGATCTCGCTCCAGGGGAAGCCAATCTTTGGAGTCATCCTGTGGAAACATTTGCATCCTTTCGATGTAAATCTGTTCATCACAGTGCACTGTGGTCATTTTCACATAGTGAAGCATACTGATAACCCCAAAGAGAAAACGAGAATAAGAGCTTAGATGGAACTTTTAGAGATCGAAGCAACTCTGCCTTCATTTAGCCGCTGTCGTCGTCATGCAAACACACTCAAAGTGGCGACATGTCCACCATTTCAGTTGAAACGATTTGCCAATCAAAACAAAGCGCCAATATACAAAGTAGAGCTCATGCAAATGTTTAGTTACATAAGAATACAAATATTTTATGAGATACTTCACTCAGAATCTTTAAATGCCAAAACCACAGTGGCTTTGGAGTCGAGAGAAAAACAGGGAACCGTTGTAAATAAAAATCAAAGGAGACAAACTGGGGGAATGTCTACACACTTTTCAGCGATCCTTTTCAAAATGACAAGTTTTGAATTTTGGGACATGTAAAGTTTTGGAAATTACTTGTCCTTTTTGTCGTAGATGTTCAGTCCCAGAGCATCCACTCCCAGCCACAGCTCTGAGCCTTTCTTGTTCTTAATGTTGAAGTAGTTGACCCCGTACATCTCCAGGTCCTGGGCGATCTTCAGATACTCCAACATTGCGTCCTCTCTGCAAGCAAAGCTCAATGAGTTGCAGGGGACAAAGTTGCTAAAAAAATAATAATGATAATGATTTGAAAAGAGCACAGGAGTGGTAGTGGTGCAGGAAGGTTTCAGTACCTTGGCATTCCCTTGTGCTCTTCATGCCACACCTGGATTCTTTCCTCCCACTGATTCTTATTCAGCTTGTGCTGCTCCAAAACCCTGGTGTTAGCAGAAAAGAGGACGGGTCGATTAGAATTCAGGCGACTAAAACTGGAATTAAGTTGAACTTTTCTTTTTCCTTTCTTTTATTTAAAAAAAAAAACTTCTATGCACGGGATGCTCTACCTCTGAGGAAGCAGCTTCTCCTTGGTGAGGTATCCCGGGACGTGATAATCTTTCTTGTAATCTCCGTGTTTGACCTGAACGGCGTAAGAGGCCAGGAGCACCGCGGTCTCGGGTGGACAGTATATGTCGTCGTTCAGGATGCTCTCCTTTACCTAAGAAGCAGTGGACGCAGACAGGAAGGCCTTTGCAAACAGAAACCGTGCACGGTGGTGGATTGATTGTTTTTTCACAGACGGAGGAGCCATGTGCTAAGGTGTTTATTTAACGCACATGTTTCTGGGTGCGTTAATTCCCTCATTAAAACGATTCTGGGAGAATTTAGCTGATGTGCGTGAGACATTATGAAAACCCCAGTAGTCATTAAGACAGCTTCTACATTTTGTTTTGATTAAGATTCCTTATTTAATCTTTCCGGTGTGGTTCAGATCACAGCATCACTTACTGTGGAACCTCAGTGTGCTCACCAAAAAGAAAAAAGTCAATTTATTCTTGAAATAATGAGACTATTGTTCCTATATAAATAATGTGGGCATTGGAACAAAGTGGGGCTCTGTAAAAATGTTAACAGTTAATATCTTACCTGCTGCAGATAGCTCTTTGAACAGCCTCAGTTTAAAGAAACAGAGTTTAATTTTGATTAGACTGACGAGCAAAGAGCTAGTCTGAGCTGATTGCTGCTGAAAATTTCCACTCCTATAAACTTTATAATAATTCATGTGATTGCTGTTTTATGTATGTTTACATAGAACAAGGCTGCACAGGGGACCACAACTACCCAAAGCCAACAACTCAAGGGCTAGACTTCTGGGTTGGGGG